TAAAGAACAAAAAGTGATCTTTTGAATATAGTATGTAGCTTTACGTATATGAGGAAGACATACCTGCAATGCAGACTCCCTTGGTGCTGTTACAAATGTCAATCAACAATTTGATCTAAGGGGAAACAGAACAAGTTTTACCATGCTTTACATGTCAGCAACAGGGGCAAAGATACGATTGCATTGACAGCCCATTTAGTCAGTATTCTGATCCTTATGTAAAAGTAGCAAGACACCTCTAAAAGAATAACATAAACTAACAAGTAAATAGAAAAACAATTCTAAGGTAAAAGCATAATTAACAAAATATACTATCAAAAGTATAACATTACTTATACATCGTATATCTTTGAATATTCAATTAAATAATAAATGACATATAATATAATTATCGTTACTGATGTTAAGAAACACGGCGATGTTGTAGTTTGTAATGCAAATGTTATCAATTGAAATGCTGTTGTTTAATGTTTAGTTTAATCTGTTACAATGCAACACGCTCCAAGCACAACATGGAAATATTCCTATACAGTAAAAGTGTTTTACAAAATGTACCATTGGGCTTTGAAATTACATAATTCCACCGAGTGTAACCCTAGCCCTCACTCTGTTTTATTTCAGTGTTGTGGTATTATTGCACACAGTAAATCCCAACATGCAGGACCTGGAGCCTTCAGACCCCCTGATGGTCTGAGGCCTGGGGACCGGTGCCCATCTTATCCAGATGTTGATGGAGCGACGGTCAGTGATGACAAAATACAAAGTGACCGAATCTCACCGGGACCATGGAGTAGGTCATCATCATCATCATGTCATCCTGAAGGTGTGCCTTGGGGTAACTCTGTCGATGTTTGTGCTTCATCTCATTCTTCATCTTCTTCTCTGCTTCCTCTCCCACCTCCTGGCTGACCTCCTGGCTGACTTCCTGTCCCTCCACCTGGTGGAGCTCCTGCATCTCCTGCTGTAGCTCCTTCTCCAGCTCTTCACTTCTCTTATTCCTGGAAAACTGGGACTGATATTGCGGATGTTCCCCCGCCCTAGCCCGCAAAGCTGCCGCTCCTCTCGGCACCTCCTGGAGGAACTCCACCACGGAGCTCTGCTCCACCTCCATCAGCTTCACCTCTGCTTGCTGCAGCAGGGCTCGCTGCTGATTCTGCTGGACCAGGAGCACCAGGAGGCCCACAGAGTTCATCAACGCCACCACACATGTCCCGTACAGCACCAACCGCTGAGGGAGAGTCATGCTGGGGGTTGGGATCCACATCGTTACCACCTCACCTCCGCTTTTCTGAGGGTCACCTGCCAACTTCAGCATTCAAACGGTATACAAATCCAGTTCAGAACTCAAAGAGGACAAAGTCCAATTCTTACGGCCTGTTGTCCAAGACGCTGCCACCAAAAAGTCTAATCAACCGTACGCCAAAATAATCCAATAGAGGGAAGTCATAAACCAAATTTAGAGTCCTTTTCAAATAATTTGAAAGCTCCAAATAGAATCCAGTCAGAGTGTGCCTGTGCTCCTCACGGGTGGTGGTCTGAAGTCAGACTGGTAAATACAGTGCTTGTTGTGTTGTTCACCAAGTGGAGTAGGGCTAGTGTGTGTGTGTGTGTGTGTGTGTGTGTGTGTGTGTGTGTGTGTGTGTGTGTGTGTGTGTGTGTGTGTGTGTGTGTGTGTGTGTGTGTGTGTGTGTGTGTGTGTGTGTGTGTGTGTGTGTGTGTGGTGTGTGTGTGTGTGTGTGTGTGTGTGTGTGTGTGTGTGTGTGCCAGTATTGTAGGAGTGGGCATTACACAATCTTCTGGGCTTGTCTGGGAAGAAACCCCCGCCTGTTCAGTCACCTGATTTATATTCAGCATAACCCATTCTACTGCACCGCCGTGGGCAGACTGACATCACGGACACACACACTCACAGGCATGCACTTATGTATAGTGTACGCACAAAAGCACTCAAATGCATACAAATGAAAGCATGCATTACACCAGACAAGCTGACTGCTTATTTTTATTTACATATTTATACATGTTATTATGAATACTATTCCAATGGTGAAGAGTTTCAAACTTCAAAATGCATTAACATCATTATAGTTTCCATTGGTTCATGACCCATCCCAAACTCCTGTATCCTTCCCTTATCTCGCGCAGTCCCTCCTCAAAGCTTCCAACCAGCAACAATGACCTATTTCCACTGCTTTGATTTGGGCCAGAAAAGTGACATTTCACCGCTCTAAATTTCAGTAAAGCAGGGGAAATTCCAAGTACTCCATTCTTCTCTGTCACATGGTGTTGGTACTGTCTCATTTGACTGAGATGTAAGTGTAGTGGTCAGTTTTGTGTTATCTCTTCAATAAAAAAAACTATTTGTTTGAATAAGTCAGTTTAGTCGGTTCTCTGCTGACATGGAGCACTGCTTTATGTAGCTGACCTACATGCTCTTGCATCCTTGTGAGATCCCACACACACACACAGGAAGTAGACATGCTACATTGGGGTTAGATTCAGGTCCTGTTGACCGGGCGTTTGGTATGTAGGCTCCCTCCTGAGGCTGTAGGTCACTGACAGTCAGTTGTTGGACAGCTTGTATTGCTTTGGCAGATGTGTAGATGTGTTCGCTCATACAGTATTAAGAGCATTGAGGTCGTTCCTTTGTTGTCTCTTTTTCACTTTGTAATGCTCTGCGCCTGACCAACTGAGACTGGGAACAAAAAGCAGGGGAAAGCCCACCTTCTGTATGTGGATCTCATCTCTGATTAAGTATTTGAAGACTGTAATGTTGGCAAAGTTGCTAAATGATTCAGCCTTATTGAGGATCCATTCAAATGAACCCTGTGGTGTAAACATGTCAGCATGCCTACAAACTCTTCTCCACCTCAGGTCTCTCGTTGACCTTCTCTCTGTTTCCGCCTTCCTCCCGAGGTGCAGCTGCAGGGAGAGCAGCCTTCCAGTATCTCTCTTCTTCGTGTCTTCCTTCAAACAGTATCCTCCCATTCTCCTCTTCTCTGTCCAATATTCTTGTTTTTTTCAGTGCTATCTTTGAAGTTTCAAATATGTTTTGGAATGCTACGAATCAGCTTATCACTGAAAATTAAGATTAGATTCAATAATGTGAAATCAGTAAAATGGCACATCAAAGACGATCAAATGAAGCCAATAAACACCACTATAAATGAACAAATTACATTTATTAGACATCGAAAAAAGCCCTAAATTTAAGAAACACAATGAGAGGGATGGAGGTGGAGTTCATCTTCTAGCTGTTCTCAGACCTTGCAATACTGCTTTAAATCTTAATTGTGAGGTAAATTCCTAAAGGCAGTTTAGGCAGGTCTCATAGCATAAAGCGCACAGTCTGAATTCATATCCACTCACTTCTGCTGCACGTCATGCCTCAAAGAAAATTCATAAATTCTGTCCAGACCTCATACATGGTCTGACATTTTCCCTCGGCTTTCAATCAATCTTGTTTTTCACTTCTAAACAACTCTCTACACATGTAGTGGAGACAATGATGTGGTTGACCACAGCACAGAGCACAGAGACAAGGTTACATTAACTTCTGTTTTCGGGAAAAACAGACGGGGTTGTCTTTGCTTAATCATGCAGAACAATCTCTGTCCGAGCCATCATACAGGGGACGTTATCGAGGCAGGGCCTCACACACAGTCGGACATTTCAACTGTGCACATTCCTCGACTCCACCGTGGGCGGTGAGTGAATGCACAGAGTCCTTTATACAGAGCACATGGAACAAAGGCAGAGCCAAACAGAATTTGCTTTGTGACAAATTGTGAAACAAAATATTAAAAAATAATAATACAATTATATTCAACCCAAAAATAAATACAATTCAATATGTCCACTTGCTTAATGCTTATTTAGAAGAAGGAGTATTTGGGCACTCATTGCTGTTATTATTTAATGTTTTATTGTTGTTGATTTTTCGCTTGGATTTTTTGGTTCCCCCTTTGTCTTGCCTTTTAAAACATATTGTTTGTCGTTATGATGTGAGTACGGGACTACAAATATACATAAAACATAAAAAAAGGTTTGATGAACCCATAAATACCTAAGATATAAATAAATAAAGAAGTATGTTTTTGTGTCAGAATCTTAACAATAACTTAAATACAGCAGGTCTGTAAAATGTCCTATTCATTTTTACATTTCATTAAGTCAAGTTTTTTATTGATAAAACAGCTTCACTCAATGTCATTTAAAAGTGTTTGTTGAGTACGTTTTCAACTATGTGTTTCTTCCTTTTGTGAGGCTGGAAAATAATCAAATACGATGATGATAAATGGTCTGGAGTGTAAAACAATTTACCCGTAAACCCTAATATGTCAAACTAAAATGATAGACTAATAACCTCATGATGTTGCAGTAAATCCGTAGACACTGTTTAATGCGTCACAGCTCTGCTTCTCCATCTACTGGTGGTCTGTTGGAGGAAAACTGGGAGTAATCACAAATAATAAAGGCCACAGCATATCATGTTTAAAAACAAATTTTTTGTTGGAACATTTAATTCCAGCTGTTTCTTGTTTGTCTTCGAAGATGTAAAAAAAACTGAAGTTTGGATGTTTTTTTTTTTTAAGAGATCATTTATTTTTGGACGACAGATAAAGCTTTAATAATAATAACACAGGCCAGATGTTGTTTCTCCAATAAGATTCTTTTGAAGTTCAAAGCTGGACCAAAAGTTTGCTCTGATCACCAGAATGTTAAATACAACCCATGAACCGTCTACTCCCCAACATTCACCCACTGAACTTGGGCCTGCACGCTCAAGGGCACAGGCACCAATCCAACCCCTCAAGGTTACACTTGTATTGTTTACCATTTCTCTCCCGTGTTGTGGCTTTTGCATCACCCTGACCTGGCTCTTAACCAGCTCAGCCCTCATATAAACACCAGGCTCTGCTTTCGGAAGGCATCTGTCATTACCCGGGCGGTTGTTTGGTTTGTGCAGTTAGTGCAGGTTGTTTTACTACTGCCTTCCTATGGATCTGATCCCTGCCTGTGAATGGGCCCTGATTCCTGTAGGTTTCGACACCATAGTGGAAGACCTGGTCTCTATGTCCTCGAATGTCACTGCAGTGGGATCACCGGGGATCTCCGTTGCAACCAGGACCCTCATCCTGCTCATCTGTCTGCTGCTGGCTGCATGGAGCCACGCGGACAAGAACACTGTACCTGGTAGGTTCTCTTTATAGACACTTGGCAGTTTTTGTCTGTGTGTTTGTGTCAATTCTCCATCACTGAATGACATGTATTGTGATTCACCACCACAGGTCCTTCTTTCTGTCTGGGCTTGGGTCCATTTCTGTCATATGTGAGATTCATGTGGACTGGTATAGGCACAGCCAGTAACTACTACAACAAAAAGTATGGAGACATTGTCAGAGTGTGGATCAATGGAGAGGAGACCCTCATACTCAGCAGGTTGGTTACCTCTGTTAATGCTGCGGGAAAAACAGTTTATACACAAACAGGAGATAATGATTTAATGTCGATTTTTTGTTTATTTTTTACTTTTTTTAGGGCATCAGCTGTGCACCATGTACTGAAAAATGGACATTATACTTCCCGTTTTGGGAGCAAGCAAGGACTCAGCTGCATCGGCATGAATGAGAGAGGAATCATATTTAACAACAACATACCTCAGTGGAAAAAGATACGCACCTACTTCTCTAGAGGTAACATTTCAACCTTATTCTGCCTTCCAGACTTACTGATTGAGTCAGTTATTTATTCAGTTCAGTTACAAGAGATTTGATTTCCCATATCAGCCCTGACAGGTCCGGGCTTGCAGCAGGCGGTGGAGGTCAGCGTGTCCGCCACACAGACTCACCTGGACCGTCTGGACCGTTTGGGTCATGTGGACGTTCTCAGTTTGCTGCGCTGCACCGTGGTTGACATCTCCAACAGACTCTTCCTGGGTGTACCTCTTAATGGTAAGTAGGCATGCATTCCTCTTTTAAGATGAAAGATGGATCAAACACATGCGGTCAATGGGTTAGGATGCAATTTTTCTAAATACCTTTGTGTTAACCTCTCCAGAGAAAGAGCTGCTTCTGAAGATACAGAAGTATTTCGACACATGGCAGACTGTGCTGATAAAACCAGACATTTACTTCAAGTTCGACTGGATTCACCAGAGACACAAGAAGGCAGCGTAAGTCACTCTTTTCACATCATTTGTAGGCCTGGTTATTTTGGCTGAGCTCTTCTGTTATAATCAAGTGTTTTTAAATATCTTATCTCACAGCCAGGAGCTGCAAGATGCCATAGAGAGCCTCGTGGAACAGAAGAGAAGGAATATGGAGCAGGCAGATAAACTGGACAACATCAACTTCACCGCAGAGCTCATATTTGCACAGGTCAGTCTGAGAATGTAATCAGTGCTCTTTGCTTTTTGCAAATATTTAGACTTCTCTGATCTCAGAGCAAACTCTTTTCCCTTTTCTCCTTTCATTCTTTAAGCCTTTCAAAGACTTCCTTCAACCCATATGTCAGAAATCCTCACACATTTATTTCGCCTGTCAGCTTATTCACATGTTGTTTGTGTGTGTTTTCAGAACCATGGTGAACTATCTGCGGAGAATGTGAGGCAGTGTGTGTTGGAGATGGTCATCGCAGCACCAGACACTCTGTCCGTCAGCCTCTTCTTCACACTGCTGCTCCTCAAACAGAACCCAGATGTGGAGCTGCAGCTGCTGCAGGAGATAGACACCGTTGTAGGTAAGAATCTGAGAGAATCAAGATAGATTCTGATAAAATATTGTAGAGATTTAGTGTTTGAGCAAAATGATATCTCAATGCCACTGTCTCGCCGCAGGCAAGAGACAGCTCCAGAACAGGGACCTTCAGAAGTTGCAGGTGCTGGAGAGCTTCATCAACGAGTGCTTGCGCTTTCACCCTGTGGTGGATTTCACCATGCGACGAGCCCTCTCTGATGATATCATAGATGGTTACCAAGTACCAAAAGGCACAAATATTATTCTGAACACCGGCCGCATGCACCAGACAGAGTTTTTCCTCAAACCCAATGAATTCAGTCTGAAGAACTTTGAGAAAAATGTGAGTAGATGTTTGTTTTTGTTTTCTTTTGTGAAAGTTGAGTTTCTATCTGCAACTCTGGGACTTAATAACATAACCGTGACTTAATAAATTAACTCTTAAAGACCCCGACAGCCTTTTTTGCTATTCTGCTTCTTACTATGAGCAATTGGTGCTATGTGAACAGACCATTTTTAATAGATTCAAGTTTTTTTTCTCCAGTTGTTTTAAGTGAGCGGGGCTTGGTTGAAAAATGTCATGTCAAGTAAGCCTATTCTGTACATCAATCCAGATTTAAAATGTGAATCAGATTTGGATGATGCTTGGTGGGTTGTTTGTTTATATTGCCACTCTCAGATGAATATGATCAAATTATACCAACACAGTCCCGATGAGTATTGGGTGTCAAACTTTTAGTAAATTATGTTTTTTTTCAGACATGAATATTCATGTTATTGACAAACATTTGATTTGAGTGTTTCAGGACTTTTAATCACCCCTGTCCTTCCTTCAGGCTCCTCGTCGTTACTTCCAGCCGTTCGGTTCAGGACCTCGCGCCTGTGTTGGCAAGCACATCGCCATGGTGATGATGAAATCCATCCTGGTGACGCTGCTGTCCCAGTACTCTGTGTGTCCTCACGAAGGCCTGACCCTGGACGGCCTCCATCAGACCAACAACCTCTCCCAGCAGCCTGTGGAGCATCAGCAGGAGGCCGAGCAGCTCAGCATGACATTCCTACCCCGCCAAAGAGGAAGCTGGCAGACACTCTGAGACGTACACACTGAATCTATACCTTTAAACTGTATATATGATATCTATTATACTTCATTTATTATCATTACTGTACAAAGCTACGTTTTATATTGTGGTATATATATATTAAAAAAACCTATTGACCTATTATGCATTATGTGAAAAGTAAGTTAGAAATGCTAATGATAAAGTACATGTAAATTATTGCACCAATATTAAGTGTTGTCTTCTTTTTTAATGTTTTATCATGTTTTACTGAATGTATAATATATATAAAGTGGAGCATTTTCCACATAAAAAAGTTAGAAAACTTTCTCTTCTATTTTTTCAAATTGTCTACACTTTTATTTACATTTTTTGTCCTTAATCAATGATGTTATTTTCAATTCAATTCAATTCAAATGTGTTTATATAGCCCAATATCCAAATCACATTTGTCTCAGAGGGCTTCACAAATCAACAAACACGAATGACAATGTAAAAACAACAAACATATCTGAGAATATAGTAAAATGACAAGATGAATGTGAAAATACCAAAGAATGGGTACATAACACAATGACACAAATACAGTTAGAATACAATAATTAAGATTCCATAAAATGAAGGTTCCATGAGGATGTTTAAAAGGGAGTTTAAAACCAGTCCTAACTGTACGCTGTACTAATGAGGAAAGTCTTCAGCCTATACTCTTAAATGTGTGGACACTGTCTGCCTCCCTAATCAATGCTGGAAGTTTATTATTAGAAAGAACAGACTTTTATGAAAAGAATATTTCTATAATCAACAATACATTTTAACGCTGAAATCACCTGTAAAAACCAGGAAATCCATAAAAATTTGATTCAGTAAGTTAAATAAATACATCTTCTATTGCATTTCTAAATGTTGATCACCAGAGGGCACTACAGCACATAACACAACAATCAGTCTTCAGCACAGCCTAAATAAAGCAACCAAGCTGCTCATTGCATGCAATTGCTCTGCCTCTGGGCAAACGTGGCAATACAATTCACATACAGATGTTTCAATTCGCTTTACAGTATAAACACCAGGCAGGGACCACTCAAAGGGCTAGGCTGGGCTCTACTTTTTCTGATTGTGTGAAAATAAACATGTAGACCAGTGGTTCTCAACTGGTGGGTCGCGAAGCCGTTTTAGTTTTTTGGGGAAAAAAGTCAAACTTTTATTTTGAAGGCCCGATTTTCTAACGCTGTGCATGCAGTCGGCGTTGGACTGGAAGTACCGGAGACCATAAACGGTTTTGAAAACTTCTGTCACGTAGTGATCATCTTCTCAATTAAACATCTTTGCTGATGATTTTTCGGGTCTTCTGGCCAATCAGAATCAAGATTGTTGCCGGAAGTCCCCACGGAGAATAACTTTGCGGTATAACTACTCTTTATACATCCATGGGTACAATTTCAGATAAAAATTAACACATAATGAAATATGACCCCCGGTTTGATGATTGACAGGTCACAGAACAATGGGAGCTATCTACCCTTACCCACAATTGAAAGTAATTCACACAGACTATCTCCTCTTTACTCTTCTCTCTGTAAGGAGCAGCAAGTTCAGCTGTCAGAACTAAGTGAAAAACAAACAATGGCATAAAATATTATTAATATGTCGGGTAGTAATAGATTTATTTATTTTCATCTCAGAGTGTACCAGAATGCGTAGTTTATATGTTAGTATTTCTAAACATCTCCTGGGGGAGAATCCCCCCAGACCCCCCTGCTGGGGTTGGGTTTTCAGCATGTGTGCCTTTTTATGTTATACAGTTCAGCTTTGATTCCATCATCTCATTCTTCAGTTCTGTGAAGGGATATATGCACTGTACTTCACTTTAATAATGTATGCTGAAAAGCGTATTACAGCACGATTTTTTGTTGAATAGATTTCAGTGGTTCAACATTTCAGGTCGCGATTGATTGACAAAGGAAAAAGTGGGTCCCGAGGCCTGCCCAGTTGAGAACCACTGATGTAGACAACATTTTCTGCCGACACTTCAGAGATGTCAACCATTGGCTGTCTGTCTGATGCAAGAGTGTGAAGCCTCTAAATTAAGAGTGTCCATTTAAATTTCCCTGGCACAAAACCACCTGGGAGATGAGGTTGCTGATTACAGCGAGATTAGGACAGGGGGTGTTTCTCAATCGCGAGTAAAACTGCTTCAGAGCCACTATTTCAAGCATACTACGTCATCGAGTGCCGCCAAAGGACTGTTCCAATCTCCAGCATACTTGGAAATCTACCGAGCCCGGCGTACTCCGTTTGGAGAAATATCGAGGCTGCACATGAGTAGACTCCGCGGTCTTAAAATCCCCACAATGCTTTGCGCACGGACCAATTTCCCCAAATCTGTGGCGGAAGATGTAAGGCGGGGCCTCTCATATGACGCACACCTGCACACTTCCTAGCCTGTTCCACTCTTTGTTTTCCGCATGCCAGGAAGTATTCTTGCCTCGCTTCTGAAGCAAGATGCTCGGCAGACATGTGCTACCAAGCAAGCGTACTCGCGATTGAGAAACACCCAGGGTGTCTGAAAAAAGACAAAACAACACGTGCGCACACACACACACACACACACACACACACACACACACACACACACACACACACACACATACACACACACACACACACACACACACACACACACACACACACACACACACACACACACACACACACACACACACACAGAGCACGGCTTGCCTCGGCTCGGGTTCAAGCTGCGTTTCCATAGAGAGGCGAAGTCCCTCCCTTTCCGGTGGACCTCCATGGGACCTTGTTTCGGGAAAATGATGTATTGAAGTCAATGGCGATAGAAAAGTTATCTTTTGATCCCGTTTGAATTGTGCCACGAATTACACATAATGATGTTTGTCAATTTAAAAGATAATAAAAAAAAAAAAAAGAGTAAGACTTTTTTTGTGTGAAACCGCTCAATGAACTACATCTCTGGTCTCGCACAACAACACACGTCACCAAGATGGCCGTCACTACTGTCTTGCCAAACAAGGGATTGACTACCCTCACTATCACCACAATGAAACACGTCCAGAAAAATGTCATGCAAAGCAGGCTCGTACCCAGGATTTTGTAAATACCGAGGTCCAAAACATGCTATGGGAGCTCGGGGGCAGGCCCCCCCAATTTTGGGGGGATTTTCATGATCTAAATATCTGTTTTTAAGTCCTGTAGGAGGGCACACATTGGATGATATATTGATTTCAAACCATGTCAGTGGGCTGCAGCATACATTTACATAGTTTGTGTTGAACAGCACATGAACATAATGTAAATGCAACCCTGGGCTCAGATGGCTGTCCCTGCAGTTCCTCTCTGACTTCCATCACTTTCTCTCTGAAAGCCTGTCCTGAGCTTGGACTGACAGTCTTTTCATTATATCTGTGTCAGTGAAAAAAGAAAACAACACAATGTTATCTCCTCAACCTTTTACTCAAATTATAATGAAAGAAAAGCATTGAAACTTTTGTTAAAAGGTCTGATATTGGATGAATGAAATTAACGTTAGCTCTCTAGCTATTTTATTCACGCAATTTAAACCTAGCCTATAGCTCCAATATAAGTTATTGTGCATGCATGTTGTCGTACGTCCACTGACAAACGTAGTGCGTTCACACAGGATCTGCTGGTCATATGACAACCCAGTCTCACGGCATTTCGTGTTATAGTCACGACATTTAATCTATTGATTCGTGTTCACCAACACGATTTTCCCCTTTGTTTCGTGTCACACAGAACGATTTTAAAAGCAATGCATTTCTATTGGTAGTATGTTTCGTGCCTGCACCACGTCTTTTTGTCCGGTCGGGTCTTGGAAGACCGGAAGCTGTGTGGTTCATACAGTAAAAACATTTTCTTACTCAATATCAAGCCACGATTATTGTTTTTAGATAAAGTCTTTGCATGTCAGACTTTTTTTGCCGTCCGTGAGGAAAAGAAATGGGGCTCAGAATATTGAAATATGTATTTTTTAAATCTTTTTTTCCTTCTAATTTGTTATTCTTTTCTAAATAACACACTGTTATTTACTCAACAATAACACACAATTATCCTTGTTTTTATTTATTTGTTTAATTCTATAATCGCTGGCTTTTTTGCTGTCCGTCAGGAACTGAATTTCAAAATAAAGTCATTGTGACGTGGATCATAAATATATCAGCAATTAAACAACATCTTCAATTTCTCTTCATACAATATGTCTCCTTGCAGTACCAACACTAATTCGGCTGACTTTTATATTTGATCCAATTGGTAGATATATTTACACCATAACGGTGCACAGCTGATAGACAGGGACTTGTAGTTTTTAAAGATACTACTGATTTTATTTGAATATAAGAATGTAAATACTGAGTTGAGAGAATAGTCAGGGGTTTTGGGTGATGGGAGACCGTCTATGGATTCAGAATTTCAATAGCTTACCGTTAAATGACGGATATACCTTTCTGCCTGTGATGTTTTACAAATCAGATATTAATGTGTAGAAGTAAAAACATGTGAAATAATATAGCAATATCCTGTAAAATTATGTGAAAACATACAAATCTTCAGATATTATACATACATAAGTGTCCTACACTAATAATAAAAAGTTATTATGGCATTGTATGCTGTGTGTACCTTGTGTGCACTGCCTAGTGGTTAAAGCACGTTATTGAATATTTGTTTTAATATGTTATATTTGATGAAAAAGATATTAAGAGTACATACAAAATAGGGGGAAAGTAGAAGGTCAATGATAGAAATACAGAATATAAAAAATCAAGAAGATACTGTAAGTGATCTCTACAATAAAACAGTTTAGTGCCGGATGTACAAAGATATTAATAGGAGGATGTGCAAAACAGAAAAACTAATTAATCTTTATTTAAACATTAAAGAATACTTTAGGTTAAGGTCTTCTTTTAAATAAGAAAAAAGCTTTGGGGGTATCTACAGATAAATATTAAGCCTGACAAAGTACTTAACGTCTAATATATTGCTTTCCTGCAATGTTAACTATGTTGAAGCACTTATTTTAACTGATATTATAAATATGAATTATACTCTTATAAGATGTAT